TTAAGGCATTAAGGTTAATATTGTGGCGTTGACCTATTTACTTTTTTGAATAGTTATACCTTCTGCCCATTTTCATCATTATATCTGTATAATACTCGTATATTGTAATATGTGAACCAGCTGCTGTGCAACGACCGCGAGATAAGCAGATATAAAGTAGCCGTTGGCTCGTCAAATATGTTCCCTCGGAAGCAACTGAATAGCAACAAAGGAATGGTGTTTCCTGTGCGATCCGCTAAGCAAAGATTGAACAGCAAGAGGAACGGTGTTTTCTGTGTGATCCGTGCTGAAATGTTATAACAAATCCAGTGCAGTGAAGTGCAATGCAGGGAATTGAAGAGTTGGTTGGTGAGTTAGTGAATTAGTCAGAGCTGCAGTTCGGGTACTGTGAGCTGTTGATGTTATAAGTTTGTAGCTGAGGCACGGGAACAGTTCAGTAACCCAGAGTAAGATGCACGTCCGCCGTTGATACCGTTACCAAGCAGCGACTGGTGAAGACACAGCAGAATGAAAAGACATAGTACGCGCTGTAGCAAACTGCAGAGTGCGTGAATTACCGATAGCGCTATAGTTACTTGTAAATCCAATTACCAATCCAAACCCCGTCTATAGTCACTTCATCACGTGACAATATAAAAGGTAAATTTGTCCGTGTACTTATTCACTTATGGGTAACGGGGGTATAGATTCACCATTCTTGACCTGGGCTCTATATGGAGGTGAGTGATCAAGTTCACGACCCGGCCGTTTTACCCACGGTACCGATTGGATAGGAGGTTGGGTGGGCACCGTAGCTGATGTGGACGCTGTGGAGTAGAGAAATATCTCTTGCCCCTGAATGTATCGAACCCCGGCCGTCCAGCCAGTAGCCCGTCGCTATATTAGCTGAGCTATCCTTTGCGGAAATACGTCCGTGGGCGTGTGGTGTTGATTAAAATGGTGACTTCTTAGGGTGATGATTACACCGGTTTAAAGAAACTTGGGATAACAGATCATTCGTTGCACTCTCTGTATTAGCGAATTTTGTCTTGCATTTTTACTAAGGAACCTACCGAATGATGACGTGACAATAACAATGAATGCAATATCCGAGTAACGTTCCACGTTTATATAATGAAGCTTGTAGAGCCGTTGCTATGCAACGACCGCGAGATAGGCGGATATACCTGGGCCGTTTCTGGCCAACGGCTTAGTACACAAGTTCCCGCGAAATGAACAACAGACCAACCCCCGTCTCTAGGCAGCAGATTCTTAATAATGCAAGAGTTGGATTACAACAGTGGAAGAGGTGTGTTTTCTACGTGGTCCGTGCCGCGATGTTATAAATAAAACACAAGGTTAGAGCTTAGTTAGTTATGTACTGGAAGCTGTGAAGAAAGATGTTGAGTACGGGGGCACAGGAGTAGCCATTGTTGAAGCCATTGCAAGGAAACGTCTAATAACAGAGTGAGAACACTAGACTATGTGCTGTAGTGAACTGTAAAGCGTGGAAATAACGATAGTGTTACAGTTATTTGTAGTTACGATCTGTAAGTGGTCAATAAATCCATTACACCAACCCAAACCCCGTCTATGGTCACACATATTATGTGACAATATTTATCTGCTACATTTAGTGTTACTGATAAATGGACACTTATTTTACATACCATATTCTGAAATTGTGACTGAGTTTGTGAGAAAATCGTAGCTGATAAGTAAGAAAAGGGAAGGAAGAGGTCGCAGCCAACTTTAATTCACTCAAAAATGTTGAGGATAAGCACAAAAGGCGCCATTTAGGACTAGCAGTGAGTATGCATACCTCCAGTACACTCATGTGAGACTGTATTGGAAAACCTGATTCTTCAAACTCTGTCATGAGGGACACACAAATATGTTAAACACACGGACAAAATTTCGTTACGAACAACAAAGAAAGGGAAAAACCCACATTACTGTAAACAGACATACAGCAATAATGATTCATACAAATTTTATTAGCCGCTTAAAACAAAATATATTCTCACATGTCTAACCGTTGCTGGGCAACGGGAGGTGGAACGAGTTACCACGAAGACAGACCCTTGATAAACGGTCGGTTGCCAAGTTACGCAACAGTGGAAACGAGGTTACGCAACAGTAAGAAAAGCGGTGTTAGTCCGTGCCGAGCCGAGCCGAGCCGAGCGTTGCGCCGTCCACGTCACAATATGTTTGATCGTCAGAAAACTGTCNAGTCCGTGCCGAGCCGAGCCGAGCCGAAGCGCGCTGGTTGCTACCAGAGTTGCCCAGCAACGCCTTTGTAAACACGGCGTCACGTAACATNTCGGGTAAATTACTGCTGGCCTTCGCCAGCAAAATCGTTCTTGGTTCCGTGTTCCGCCGGACTCTTTATCATATTTTACTGTTTCACGATCCTGGGAGTCGTACGATTGTCTCTCTAGAAAACGATGTTTTACACAGAGTGTATTAGGTGTTTGGTAAGGTTCTCACAACAAACACGCATTATTTTCCTAAATGTTCAATATTTTACGGGAGATACAGTACGCTTCCTGTGGGGCAGAAACTGGATTTTTAATATAATTTAGTTGAAATACAGGCTTCAAAGAATAAAGTTCACTATTTCTGATCTATCGAAAATGTTATATTTCAAAAGCTTCAACATCACACCGTACAAACTGGTCTAGCCACAAGTCTAGATTTGTGTTGCAGTGGACCCCGGTTACGTTATCGGCTGTTGTAGCTGAATGTTGCGTGAGTATCCGTTGCAGCAGGAGAGCGTTTACCGATCCCTCGCCTAGCAAAGGCCGTCTCTTCTCGCTTCACTATTCTGATTTTAGCCTTCATATCTCAATATAAATAAAGTATTATATATAGTATACACGTATAGGAGTAATATAACAGTCATTACTCAATTTCATGTTATCATAGTAACGATACATTGAACATTAATTCGCTGCGTAGACATAAATTATGTAGCAGGTCACGAACGAGCAATCAGTCTTCGGTTTCAGCGAATTATATCTGTTCTGCGAGAACTGACAACAATTCGATGCGGTTATGTGGTGTATGATTTAATATTTTGACGTGTTATTCGTTGTAGATGATTGTGAACGTCGGTCTCGACGTATCATTCGATAACATGTAAGACTGGAAACGAATACGAGGAAACAAGGAAGTTAAAACACGATAGTTTATATAACAAATGGCGATACTTTCCGGCGTATTCGTATCGGCCATCGCGATGGTATATGAGTAAAATGATGATGCTCTTTCATTGAAGCTCTACGGGTCGTGTCAGGGCATAATTCTCATTACATTAGTAAACACATGGGCGGACATTTAAAACCTTAACTTCTGAAGTTTACGTGTACAAGACTTACTATAAAATATGATGGATCACTTCCTGCTGTGCACTGAACCTAATGTCATATTTTATTTTATTAAATTTAGCGCGAATTTTTGTTTTCATTCCTCTGAAAAGCTTATTTGCAGCAAACATCCTCACGCCCTAACATGTTATTATGAAAGTAGGTTACACACAACAGGTAACCTAGAATACATCTTTAGGTCACAGGTTCGTGTGGGAGATTATTCGAGCAGAGATCTTGGGAGATTGAAATTCTGTGATGTGCCCTAAAGAACAGGTTCGGAATTAATCTACACGTACCGGTAGCGTCAGGGTACTGGAGCGCGTGTCTCCCCACTCTTATGGTGACACAAGCTAATCAAATGTACATAGATTCAACCTGTTTGTATCACCATGCTCATGAGCTAACCAGATAATCTAGGATCAGTCCCTGCAGCTTTTCAGTTACTCATAACGAAGCCATGTTTGCACTGGTGGCATTATTCTGCAACGGCGTTCACAAAGAGAATAATCCAAAACACGTACACAAACACCGACGTCTTCGTTAACACTAAACAAGAATTTCGTGTATTCATTGTACCCGTAGCTTCTGTCACTCAATTCCCGTCAGCGACAGAATAGTTCCACTGATAAATATAAATATATTCTGGATAAATAATAGTGAAAATATTTAGTTTTTAGTTCACTCTGTACCTAATCAGTTAAACACTATGCCATGAAGACATGTGGGAGAACGGAGGTATAGCTCCAACATTCTTGACCTCTTCACTAGATGAGAGAGATCAGCTTTGCGCCCCTGCTTCTTTACCCCTGGGGAAAGAGCCTCCGATACATATTGATATGGGCCTGTGAAGAAAACGTTGCATTGCCGGGAACCGAACCTGGATCGTCCAGTCCTTGGCCCCTCTCCGTAATGACTGAGCTATCCTGGCTCACTCACTCGTGGAGCTGAGCCCTTCTTGAGGAGCCGCCAATTGTGCAGCCACTCAAGAACTTCCCAGCATTTTATGGAACCCGAAGGTTCATTACCGTGTTCACAAAAGTCCTCCAATGATCCCTATGCTGAGCAACATCAATCCAATCCATAACATACCAGCCTAACTCTCTAAGATCCATTTTAATATTGTCTACCTACCCATGTCTCGGTCTTCCTAGTGGTCTCTCTCCTTCGTTTTACTACCAAAATTCTATATGCATTCCTCCTCTCCACCATTCGTGCTAAATGCTCTACCCACTTCATCTTCCTTGACTTGAACATTTCAGTTATACTTGGAGAAGAGTACAAATTATGAAGCCCCTCATTATGCATATATATATATTTACGGGCATTGAATAGGATATAAGGAAAAAAAGATGACATGTCATCAAAATCCGGACCCTGGTTATAACTCTTAGAATTGGAATCTGGTGTTTGACGCAACTACTCCGGGTCTATTTATTGGGTCTCTGTGATATGTACACACCGCGAACATTATATTAATATCTGTTTTTTGTGTACATATTGGCAAATATTAATTTTAATCCTCAGTTCCTTTAATATTCAATTTTATATTGTTCAATATAGTTCCGACTTGAAACGTTTATCACACATGTTACCTCTTGCAGAGTTAAGCAGCTTTACAGTTTTGTGGCTTTTCTATTTTATTGGATACTCACCTGTTGATGGCCATGCAGTGACACAAACTTGTAGTGCTCAATATATCTGAAAAAAATAAATAAATGTTTTAGGACAGTCTGCGGTGACGATTTATAGAAATAAACAAGAAGGATGGAACATAGACACTGCGACGGTCCGAGTTCCGTGCCCGGTCAGATCATGTGGGATTAGGGGTTGGACACAGTGGTACTGGCGTGGGGTTTCTCTGAATAGCTTGGAATCCTTGCCAATTCTCATTACACAACGGGTTCCTCATTCATTGATCATCCTGTATTTGACGCTGCATAGTCCCCCCATTGACAGCGTCGTTAAATAAACAACTAAAAACTATTATAAGACGTTCTGGGAAGAACTAATCTCCTACTCTCCTGTGATACGACACGGACCGCTTAGAAACGACGTGTCCAAAAGTTCTCTGTTGTTGCATGCGTATTTGTCGCCGCGATAACGTGTTTACCTAGCCGTTCCTTAGCAACGATAGGGGAATACACATACAGACGTACAGACTGTTGAGAGGGATTTATTATGTACGCCGTTGAGATGGGTTCAGGTGCCATGATATACATACCAATTTTCATAAATATTGGTCGAGGCATGCAAAAGTTAGTAGAGGGGGTTACGCACAGACAGCATGGTGATCTCATAAGCCTATTTTTTCTTTTGAATAAAGAAAGTAAGCCAAAATTAATAAATACAGGTCTACTTCTAAATGTATCTTGTTCGTGATATTTGCAGAGAATGGTGAAGCAGTACTGAAGTTTTATCCACACGTTTCCGAGTCGGCTACATTTATACCTTGAAGATGGAGTCAGAATTTTCCTCCGAAACGTTAGTACATGTCTACTAAACAATGTTATCATGTCACAGATGACTGTGATCTTGTAGAACTTCTCTAGCGAGTGGATAAAACTCTCAGATATGAGCTATGTCATTGAGTGGAAATCTGCCTAGACATCCGTGGCCTCTTCTCTGTTCGATCTGGCCTTGTGTGGGGGATCCCCTAAGCCCGTATTCTCACAGCAAACTCTACTCAGTTTTGCCAACATATGTAATTAATTAAATAGAGCAAAATGAATGTTTGCACACAGCAAATCCTCCAGTTCGATATAGACTAAGTACAGGAAACAAGGAAAAGGAATAGCTGCCATACCACACCTGTGCTGGTTCTGTCTCTCTGTCCCATAATTCCACTCTATTTATCATAACGCTGTGATATGTGGCTTGCTGAAACCCACCGCACAGAACCACAACAAATAAACACGGACTATGCAAACAGTAAACCATAAATGTCAGAGTTGTTTTCGAATAAAATAGTCGGTATTTTGTTTCTATCAAAGAGTTGTTCGAATATGAATAAATTTACATTACAGGGTGCATATAAATATACATACCTTTCACATAAATAAATTCAACGTACGTTGCAGGATACATATCAATAAATGTATAGCATTTTACACGGTGCGCATAAATAAGTGCGCCGTAAGTTGCTGGGTAAGAGCTGAACTATCCCTGTAACAGGCCATAGAGGCCCATAGGGTTGTGAGAAGTCAAGGTTGCCACATTTCTATACAGTTGGCTCACAGATGGCGGTGAGGTTGTCAGCCTTACGCTCCGGCCGTTAGTTACCCCCAGGAAAATTCCTGGTACTCATTTCTGTTAGAGGTTGTATCGAACCGAGGGCCATAGTGCGGCTGGAAGGATTAGGTCAATTGAAAAAAAAAATACAGTCACCTCATCGGGAATCGATCCGCGACATGTTACAAAGTGCACATAAGTAAGTGTGCTGTAGGTTACAGAGTTCACATAAATATATGTATCTACGTTACAAAGTGCACATAAAATAATGAACTCCCTATTGCAGGGCGCACATAAGAAAACATAGTATATTATAGGATAAAATAGTAAAGTGAAGCTATCCCTGTAACAGGCGGTGAAGGCCCATAGGGTTGTGAGACGTTGAGGGTCCCACATTATCTAGACAATCGGCTCACAGATGGCGGCCATGCTTTAGTTCCCAGGAAAATTATTTAATTAATTCCTGGTACTCATTTCTGTTAGAGGCTGAGTGAACCCCAGGGCCATATTGCGGCTGGAAGGATTAGGTCAACTGAAAAAATCCAATGACCTCATCGGGACCTGCAACCTCCACCTTCCGGCTTGTAGCATAGTGCACATGAATAAACATAGTCTTCTTTGGAGGGAGTACATATATAAAATTATAGTCTTTTACAGGGTTAATATAAATAAATGTACCATATATCATAGGGTGCACACAAACAAATTACACATCAGTGAATATACTGCATATTAAAACGGTCACATTAATATTGTCACGTATTGGGCGTATATCGCGACAAATAACTTCACGCCGTATTTGATATAGCGAATTTTATTTCACATTCGCTCATACAATCACCCAAATTACAGATTTACGATTACTGCTATCTGCAGTATCACAATTAGTACACTCCAAATGCCACAATACAACTGACTAGTTGCTGGCTAACTCGGAACTAACTCGGAGGTAGCTCGAGGACTCACTCGGCGGTAGCTCCAGGACTCGCTGACTGACTGTGAATAGCCTTCGCTGCTCCTTATGTAGCCTTGATCGGACAATTGTCGTCTGGTGCCGTGTTGCTAGCCACGCTGTCCGGAGTTGTTGACTGCTGCCTAGCAACCGCGATATCCCTCGGTGACGTCACCGCTGTTGATTCGCTTTGCATAGCTTCAAGGTCGCGGGGACTCGGCTAACGTCGGCTCCGCTCGGCTCACTTCGGCTCCGCTCGTGACGTCACCGCGCGTTGCGCGTTGCATAGCTACCAGGATGCGGGGTGATTACTCGCCTATTACGCGAGCGCTACGTTACCGCTACGTGCAGCTGGGGAGGTAGGGGTCAACATGTCACAATATTATTTGCATAAATTTTGATGCCTTTTTAATTACTTTTATCGATACAGACGATTATTATTCTTAAAATTGTTTTATCACGTGAACTAAGATTTTGTCCTGCAAAATGGACAGTTAGAGCCGTACAGTAAATGTACTTTGACATGTCACATATTCTGCATTATTATATGGAAACATATCGTAAGAGCAACACAATTACTGTTACTGATAAAGTGGTCATGACAGCAAGAACTGAAGTCTACTACAGTAAATCTAACTGCACGCAGTTGTGCACCGTGCTTACATAAACATGAGCGGCCTCCATAGTCCAGAGGTAACGTTCCCACTTTGAGTCATTAGCGCTGATAAACGCGCGCCGTTACAGTTACAGTAGCAATCTGTGAGGAATTTTGGGCCCGGTCACCGGTGTTGCGAAATTACCTTCTTGATTGAACACCCTGTACAAAACTATAATTTTGTCTCTAGTTCTATAAGGGCGTGAAACTTGGTTTCTGACATTACAGAAATCACAGAATGGATATACATCCTAAAGGGTTCTGACTTTGCTGTATAATACACAAAATTACAGGATTTTCTGACTTCTTCCACTGTTCGGTATTCTGAAATACCGGGAAATGGACAAAGTCCGAAAACCTAGTAATACCACGTACAGGGTCAAGATATTTGAGAACAGGGTGCTGAGGTGAATATTTGGACCAAAGAGAGATGGAGTGACAGGATGCTGTAGAAAACTGCATAATGAGGAGCTTCATAAATTTTACGTTTTTCCAAGTATAATTAGAGTGATCAAGTCAAGGAGGATCAAATGCATACGGCAGGTAGCACGCGTGGGGAGAAGAGGAATGCATACAAGATATTAGTGGGAAAGCCAGAAGGAAAGAGACTGCTGGAAAGACCAAAACGTAGGTGTGTGACTAATATTAAAATGTGTCTTAGATATGATGGAGTGGTGTGGGCTGGATTTATCTGGCTCGGGATAGGGACCAGTGGAAGGCTCTTGTGAACACAGTAAGGAAACTTTAGTTTTCAAACAAATGTAAGGAATTTCTTGAGTTTGTGACTGACTGGCGGCTTCTCAAGAAGGGCTCAGCTCCATGGAGATCAGTTCAGTTCAATAGTGATTCAAGTGAAAATTTTTCCGCAAACAATTATTGACACGGGACTAACACGATCCCTTTCAGTTTTTAAATTTGAAATGATTAAACAATTGCGGTTTTACTTGTTGAAAGAAGCAGGTAAACTCCAAGTATTGCTAAGTATGTGATATACCGGCCAGTATCCACTACCCCTTCTACAAAGAATTAACTTCTAAAAAAGTGGTATAAATGGCAGGCTGTACAGGTTTGAATGAAACTCAATAAAGCATGTACAGATGTGTACATATAGGAACACGCATTCAGCTCGGCGCAACACACAGAAGTATGTCCCAATCTAAAATATTAAAAACGGGTATTATATTTATAATTCAATAGCATTTCTTTTGTTGAGTTTGACGTTGAATATGACCCCCTCCCCTGTTTCTGGCTTAGTTTTTGACCCCTTCTTATCGAACCGTCAATGGCTGATCGGATGTTCTTTTGTGGCACGAGAGGCCACACATTTGCAGTTCTTTGTTGCAGCAGCTCTGGGGACTGGATTGGTTCTCTGTGCACCGAGATTTAGGCTCGATCTAAACATAGTAATCCAACGGATTTCTGTGTACTGGTTTATATCTGCTGCGGATCGAAGTGTCTCAGGAGGCGGACAATGACAGAAATATCAGCCAAAAATAACGACCGTTATATACACGTATTTACCTCAGTATTTTAGTTGAAATAGCATACGACCGAATAATGCATACGAGGCTTTGATCGGAAAGCCAGAAAGAAAGAGACGGCTAGGAAAATCCAGACGTAGATGGGAGGATATCACCTAGAGAAATCGGATGAGATGGTAGAAATGTAAACAAGGTAAAGCTATCTCTGTAACAGGCCGTGAGACGTCGAGGCTTCCACATTTTATAGACAATCGTCTCACAGATGACGGTGAGGTTGTCAGCCTTATGCCCCGGCAGGCCTTTACCCACAGGAAGATTCCTGGTACTCATTTCCGTTAAAGGCTGTGTTGACCACAGTGCCCATGCTGAAGACCATATGTGG